GGACAGAGTGGGGGCAGGAACTGGCCTCTCCTAGCCATCCTCTGAACCCTCTCCTGGTCCTCTCTGCCACTCTCACCCACGTTCTAGAGAGCCCATCTTTTGGGGCCCTGGACCTGGCTGGGAGCCCAAGGACAGACCAGGGTTTGATTTGGGGGTTCCTGCCATGTGCTGGGGCTCAGGAACAGACGCCTGGCCTCCCTAGTGCTCCTGGGGACAGGCAGGTGGAAGGGGTGGCTTGGTGAGCTGCCAACAGCTTTGTTTTCTTCTGCAGTGTCCTCTAGCAGCCTGGTACTATACCAGAGCTCCGACTCCACCAACGGCCACAGCCACCTGCTGCCCACCAATCACGGGGTCATTGAGACCTTTATCTCCACGCAGATGGCCTCTTCCTCCCAGTAACCATGGCAACCACCTCCCAGGTTGCCTCCTGCACTGCCTGCTCCTGGGGGGAAGGAGGGCAGTGTTGCTGCCAGGAGGGTATTTGAGCCAAGCTCTGCTGCCCAGGGCTGCCACCTCCCGGACACTGTCCTGGTCCCCTCTGGCTCTGCCAGCAGAGGGAGGGTGCCCCCAGGTGAGCAGGGCCACTTCAGTTGCCGAAAAGGGGGCTGTAGAGAGTTGGGACGCAGAGCGTCTTCCTGGTCCTGCTTAGGGTCAACCTTGTTACTGGACATTCAGCCTGGGCTTGCAGCGGAGAGCCCTGGGGCTCTGAAGGGGCCACACTCCTCAGGACGCAGGTCACCTGCCCCTGGGATGAATGCTCTGTGGGCTTGTCTGTCGCCCACGTGCCCACCCACCAGGCCACTCCAGCCCTACTCCTCATTGCCTCACATGATTTCTTGGGTCACAGGGGACTCAAGCCAATGGGGTCGGTGGGCTAGGCTCCTCCCCCCTCCCCCCCACTGCCCCACCTCTACCCCTTCCTTTCCTGGATGCTCGTTCCCTGAGTCACAGCTTCGGAAGCCAGCTCGGGGCCTTGGCACTCTGCAGTTGGTGACGCTTCTCTGACCCCAGGGTGTCCTGCAGACCCGGCCCTTGTTGGGGGAGGCAGTATGGCAGAGCTGAGGAGCCCAGTCGGAGGGCTTGCTGTGTGGACAGGACAGACGGGAAACCTGGGTACCTGGGGCTTGGCTGGCTGAGGGCTGGGGAGGGGCCTGAGGGGCCCAAGGAGAACCAGCACCCCCTGCGGCTAGTCGCCAGCCTGTTGCGTAATTTAACATTTAGTAATAAAGCAAACAAGACATGTAAGGTGAACTTCTGGTTTGTTCGTGTCAGGGTTTGGGCTGGGGCGGAGGACAGCGAAGGCCCCGGAGTGCACCCCCCGCCCCATTTCCACCTCTAGTTTTCCTGCTGAGCTGCTTCTTTCCCTGGAAACAGGCACTGCTGGTCCTTTTGGAAAACCCTGCTGTTCTGAAACTGGCCCACAGAGGCGCCCCGCCTCCTGAGGTCCTGCAGCCCTGAGGTATAGGGGTGGCTGGCCCCGAGGTCCCCACATGCATGAGGCGTACTAATAGGGTATCATCATTGGGGTCCACACCCATCGATTTTCCAAAATGTGACTGACTCGGAGACAGCATGCAGCTCTGTGGCCCATTCACCAATGCGGAAGAAGAAAAGTCTGGGAAACCGGGGGAGGGGGCTCTGCCCTCCGTTTTCAGACAGTGTTAACCTTGGGGCAGAGAGTCGTGGGAGGGCTCTCACACTGGGGCCGGCCATCCAGCCCCAGGGAGATGGAATCTTGACCACCTGGCAGTCAGTCTTAGCATCTGCAGGCTCCCTCTTCCTGAGCCCACACAGTCTGGTGCCGCAGGTCTGCCCCAGTCCTCAGTGGGAGCAGAGAGGGGCAGGCCTTGTTTAAAGTTTCTGACCCTACAGCCACTCCATCCTTCAATTATGGTTGGGGTCTCCTGGGGAGTCTGGAGCCGCCGGCCGAGCAAGGCCTTGAACTTGCAGGGAGGCTGGGGCTTGGAAACAGCTGGTGTCCAGTGGGCGGCTGGTCTGCAGGGCTGGTGAGGCCCTGTCTGGGCTCAGCTGGAGAGCACGGCTGAGGCGCTCTTGGCTGGCTGTAAGCAGGGAGCCTCAGGAGTTTTTGCCTTTTTCTTCTTTTTGGTCCCAAGTGCTGCAGGGCCCCCGCTGAGCTTGGTGACCTTCTTTGGCTTGTGGACCAAGGCTGTACCTGTGGTGATGGTGGCCGAGTTGGCCCTGGCCTCCTCCTTGGCTTGCTTATTCCTTGTGTGGGCCTCTTTCTCCTCCACCAGGACAGGGCTGTGGATGGCCGAGCCCTGGAGGATGTCGCAGGCCGACACGGCAGCCTCCTGGCATCTCTGCCACTCCTCATCACTGTCCTCGCTGCTGCAAGGCGGCAGGCAGGGGACAGCCTGGGTCAACTGGAATTGGGAAAAGGGCCCCCTGTCGACCCCCTCTGTCCAACCCACCAAAGCAGAACACAAAAGGAAGTAGTGAAGGAGCTCATCAAGTGATTTAACCTCTCTGACTCTCAGTGTCTTCATCGACCAAATGGGGTCTGGACAGAGCCCAGGCCTCCCAGAAATGCCCCAAGCAAACACAGGAGGGTGCAATCGAGGAGGTGCTTGGGACAGGAAGTACCCAAACCACACCCCACTTCTTCACCCCCACTGAACACACTACTCCAGCCACTGGGCACGCCCCCTCCGGGGCCCCGACCCGATGGGTCTGCTTGGGGATTGTGACACTCAGCCAGACAGAGGAGCAGAAAGGGTGATGCCTGCGGCCTGGTGGGAGAGCTCACCTGGAGCTGGGGGGCGGCGGCTTCCGGCAGGACTGGGCCGGTGCTTCCTCATCAGGGTGGCCAGGGATGGACGTGAAGAACAGGCGGAAGCCTGATGGTCAGGAACAGAGTCGGCCCTGCTGGATGCCACCCCACCTCCCCCAGAACTGGTGCTGCCCGAGCCCTGCCCTCAGTGAGCTCCCAGCCCAGAGGCAAGGTCCCAAAGGACTAGTGGTAAATGCCTATGGGGGTCAGAGGGCAGGGGGCTTGAGGGGCCACCCACTGCTGGGTCAGGTCTATCAGCCAGCCTCTGGAGGCTTCCAGAAGTCCTGGCTGGAGGAGCCAACAAGCAAGCCCCCAGAACAGCCTCCAGAGGAACGTAGGACTTGGGTGTGGGGTGCACAGACACCCCGGTGAGGTGCTGGCGGAGCCTCGGTGTGATACTGGCAAGGCCACGTCAGGAGAGTCACTTTCTCGGAACCTTGGGTCCCTCCCTGTAAAAGGGGCACGTTCCTAATGTGAGAGGGCTTCAGAGAGTTCAGGGAAAATGGAGCCATGAGAGGAGGAGAGTTTCTCAGGAACTTTTGGAAGCCCCTCCTACCTGCCTCACAGTGGAGGCTGCGCAGATGAAAGAAATGGAACCCCAACAGTCTGCCCTAAGCTCCAGGTCCAGCCTTCCCCACGGCCGACAACCCAATTCTGACTGCGCAACCCTCCGGTCAGGGAGCCCATAGGGTTTCCAAGGGAGCAGCCAGCCTCCTCCTCCTCCCATCCCAGGCATACCTCCCCCCGGCTTACTGAACAAGAGCCCTTGTGAGCAGCTCAGCGACTCACCATCATCCTCTGCGGCCGCTTTCACTGCCTGGGCCTTTCGGGGCTCCTTCTCCACTTCTGAGATGGTGATGGAGCTGAGGGGAGAGGAAATGGTGGACCGACGATGAGCTGTGGGCCAGCAAAAGACTTTCATAATGACAACAACTTTAAGTGGAGGGTGGGGGCATGATCTTTGGCTGACCAGCCCCTGCCAGCTCAAACGGGAGCTGGGTTTCACTTGTGGAAGCTCCACCATATTCCAGCACAGGCTTTTTAAAGAGATGTTTTAAAGGTACTCGGTACAAGACGGATATGATGTAAAGTACGGCAGAGAGGACAGAAACCGGGGCAGGAGAACAGAAGGAGTTGGCGGTCAGGAAGTCCTAGATACTTGCTGTGAGCTTCCTAGCAGCAAGTGTGAAAAGGGAAACATGACTAGCCCAGCGAAGTCATACGGAGCTCGGCTTGCGAAGCAGGGCCAAACAGTTTCTTGGGTTTTCAGCCTTTTATCCTTTGAGACGTGGTGGATTCACATGCGGCTGTCAGAAGCAGTATAGCGCTCCCACAGGCACTTCACCAGGTTTATTCCCATAGCCGCAGCGAGCAGAACTACTGCCTCGCAGCACCACCTGGCATGGACATGGGCACAATCCTCCCACCGTGTTCAGATGTCAGCGCCCCGGGTCTTGGATCATGTTGTTGTTCCCTCGTGGTGCTGTAACAGACTAGCTGTGTCCCCTCTGGCAAGTGACTTTCTCGCTGGGCTCCCGTTACTTGGCTGAACGCCATGCCCACAACTGCCACGAGGCCCAGGAGGTAATGGACACCAGCATGTGGCGTAGAGCCCAGCCATAGGCAGGTGCCTGAGAAATGGTGGCTCTGAGATTGATGAGAATGAGCCCTGCCAGCATCATTA